GGGGGGGGGGGGGGGGGGGGCCGAAGCGCCTTGCCTGATGGCAATAGCCAGACCATTCAAATCACCTCTTCTTCCGAAGCCAAGTGCTACTGAGTACTGTCCTTGGAGTCTTTCCCCAGGTGGAGAAGATGGAAAGGGGAGCCAGGGGACAGCTGGACAGAGACACTGACAGCTAACCCTGGAGCCCGAGAGACAAGAGAATCTAGTCAAATTCCTGGCAGCCAATCGGGAGGAGGGATAAGTCTGATTAAGCCCGCCTTTTGGACGTTACATCATTTCCCCCACTGACTCACCGCCACACCTCAGCAACTGAGAAGCTTCAGGCCTTTGCGACCGGACTAGGCCAAATCGTACCGAGCTAGGCGAGGTACGGCTGCGTCAGAGTCTGGAGAAGGTCTGGAATGGGAGATTGGGCCCAAAGAGGATATAATGAGGAATGATGGAGCTGGGGTGACTGATCGCGGCTGTGACCAGTCCTTTTATCTGGCCGCCTGAAACCCACGTGTGCTATTCTATTAATACTTACCCCTACATTTGGCTCAGACAGTGAAGAATCTGCCTGCAATGCAGGAGACCAGGGTTCAATCCCTGGGTCATGAAGATCCCCTAGAGAAGAAAATGGAAATTCACTCCAGTATGCTTGCCTGGAAAATTCCATGGACAGAGGAGCCTGGCATGTTACAGTCCACGGGGGTCACAAAGGATCAGACAGGACTGAGTGACTTTCACTACATTTGGGACACCCGGTCAGAGTGGCCCGTTCTGTCCAAGGTCCTTCACAATAAACCCTGGGGGAATTCCCTAACAGTCCAATGATTAGGATGCTGAGCTTCCTCTGCAGGGGACTGGGGTTCCATCTAGCTGAGGCTTGCCTTACCTTTGCCTCATGTTCATCAATGCCTTTTGAGCTCTTCTCCCTCAAGGAATCTTATAGACAGTGCTTTTCAAACTTTGATGACCCTACACATTATCTGGGGAACTTGTTAAATGCATGTTCTGACTTAGGAAGTCTAAGGTGGGACCTGCTACTCTGCATTTCTAACAAGCTCTTGGATGTTGCTGCTGGTGGTCCCATGGACCACACACTTTGAATAGTGTGATGCTAGAACAACCTCCGGAGAAGCAATGTCACCCCACTCTAGTACTCTTGCCTGGAAAATCCCATGGATGGAGGAGCCTGGTAGGCTGCAATCCATGGGGTCGCTGGGAGTCAGACACGACTGAGCGACTTCACTTTCACTTTTCACTTTCATGCATTGGAGAAGGAAATGGCAACCCACTCCAGTGTTCTTGCCTGGAGAATCCCAGGGACGGGGGAGCCTGATGGGCTGCTGTCTATGAGGTTGCACAGAGTCGGACACGACTGAAGTGACTTAGCAGCAGCAGAATAACCTCATCCTGTTCTTTTGACCTTTTAGTCTGTGTCCTTTTAGTTTGTTCAAGTATTTTGTTTATGCATACATCCTCAGTCATGTCCGACTCTTTTGTGACCCCATGGACTGCAGCCAGCCCGGCTCCTCTGTCCATGGAAATTTACAGGCAAAAATACTGGAGTGGGTTGCCATTTCCTACTCCAGTGTTTTACATGTATAACTAGTATAACCTGATCCACTGGACATATCAGTGGAAAAACCGGTCCTCCTCTTCCTAATAAAACATGTAGGTCCCTATTTATGATTCAGGCTTGCTCATCCAGCTCCCTGCATAGGCAGGCTATGACAGCTCTTCAGGGAAGGAGAATTCCACTCTTAGTTTTCACTTTGGCTCCCTCTTCAGTTTGCAATTGTTAGTTCACAATTGTGTCCCAGACTAAAGGACTATGCCAGGACAGCCAGGAGGGGAAGTAATGTCATCATTAGCCACAGACTTGTGTCAAAACAGCCCTCTCCATTCATTTTGTGTTGAGTCTCAGATCACTAAATTAGACCTTTTTTCCCTTCAAGCTTTATTACTAGGTTCTGTGCTAGTGTAACCTTAGTCCACTTCAACTAAGGCTAAATACTCTGATTCTTGGAATCCTTACGGTTCTTTTGAAAGCTGATCTACCTTTTCTCCCTCCCTGTTCCATTTCAGGGATTTCTAGGAAAGACAGAAAGTCTAGAATGAGTCACAGAGGATTTGATTACATTCTGATCCCTGGACAAAGTTTGCTAATTTGTATTATGTGTGCCTTAATTTTGAGGTCCACTCCAATGACCCTTCAGAGATTAGCTTCTCTAAATTAAAAAAAACTACTCTGCTACAAATGTATTGCTTTGTAATGGTCTCTTACTGTTTTGTGTGTATATGTTTCAGTTCCAACAGATTCCACAAGGCATGGGCCTTATCTCTATTTCTTTCCCTTTTTTTTTTGAGGCAAGGAAAGCAACCTTATTTGAAAAGTAGCAGACCAAGAAGATGGCAGACTAATGTTTCAAAATAACCATCTTATCGGGGTCTAGATGCCAGTTTGTTTTATAGAACAGAGAGGGAGAGGAGATGAGGAAGTAAAGTAAAAAGGCCATTTTTCTTTAAAGTAGGAGGGAATGTTTTAATTTCTGCAGCCATTGACAGGTGGACTGGGTCAGACTGTCCCTCTGTGAGCTGAATAAAGTGCCTCTATTTCTTTTGTGTTTCATCTCCTCCATTCATTCATTCAATAAATATTTATTGAGCACCTCCTATGTTCTAGACAGGATGCTAGGAACTGGGGATACATAAATGAATGAGACAGACAGTCCCTATTCTCATGGAGCTTACAGTTGGGGCATGGAGAATAAGTTGTATGAAGAAGTGAGAGATGCTTTGAGAGTGAATGAGGGGTGAGGGAATATCCCTTGAGGATGAGACTTTTTTCCTTTTGGTTGAGCCTCAGAGTATTTTGGGATCCTAGTTCCCCAACCAGGAACTGAGCTCATACCTCTGCATTGGAAGTGCAGAGTCTTAACTACCCTTACTGCTAGGCAGTCCCAAGGATGAGACATTTTTGTTACCATCTAAAGAATGAGTTAGAACTGAACCTCTAAGAACACAACAATAGACCACATACTGAGAAACACTGAATTAAAAGTTTAACTTTGTCTCTTTGGGTGGTCCCTTGTCATCATTGTGACTATATGTAAAAAACAAACATAAGGGACTTCCCTAATGGTTCAGTGGTTAAGACTCCAAGCTCTCAGTGCAGGGGTCATGGGTTCATTTCCTGGTGAGGGAACTAAGAGCTTCACCAAAAAGAAAAAAAAAAAATGTCAAAAACAAGCAAATACACTAACAAAGGGCCCAGACCACTAAAGATAGTAATCAAAATCACCCAGGAAGAAAATATTTTTATTTTTAAAAAGATGACCCATTAAAATGAAAATGCAAAATTTAAGTTTTATAAGAGGACTCAAAAGTCCCCAGAAAAGACATTCATGGATGTGTAAATCCCCCCTGTTCTTAGCTTGGGAAGCACAGGCCTAGGAAGGGGTCAAGATGTGAAGACTCAGAAATGGGAAATAGTATCGACTGTCCCCCTAAAGCGTTACAACATGAATGTTGACGGACACACTACTTGCTCTCTCTCAGTTTCCCTACCCTTGCATCCTATATTCTAGGGCTCAGTTCTCTGGAGATAGTCACTAAGTAATGAAAAAAGAGAAGAGAAACAAGCCTGGAGGATTATATCCCCAGGCCTGTCTAGAGATCATTGGATCTCAGAAGATCTGGCCTTATTCTACTGCTCTCCTTGCCTGACCCCATAAAGGCATTGTTTTGCCTTCATTAGAGATTTAATCCTGGGAATTCCCTGATGGTCCAGTGGTTAAGACTCCCCCTGTGCAAGGGGCACAGGTTCAATCCCTGGGAAAATAAGATTCCACATGCTGCTCTGCTGCAGTCAATAAATAAATAAAGACCTGGTCTGATGGGAGAATGCAAAGAGAGAGAGGTTCAGGAGCTGGTGCAAGGTAATTTGTGAACTGATTGTTGTTACATGTTGTCTTAACACACAGAGCCCTCTAATAGGTGAAGTTCCATTCTGTAAGCAGATAGAGTAGGGATGGTCCCCGGAAGAAAAGAATCAGATAACAGCTTTTTAACATAAGAGAAGCCACTTTAGGCCCAAGACATTTTGTGATCTAAGCCTGGCCATAATGCTTGCCCTTGAACAAGTCTTAGTAATAATAATCTTACGAGAACAATGACTGTTAATGATCTCAGAGAGGCAGCAGTGAGTGGTCCTAAAGACAGATCTTAGTTCTCTGCCCAGGAATTGAACCTGGGTAATCTGTACTTTGGCCACCTCATGCAAAGAGTTGACTCATTGGAAAAGACCCTGATGCTGGGAGGGATTGGGGGCAGGAGGTGAAGGGGGCGACAGAGGATGAGATGGCTTGATGGCATCACCGACTTGGTGGGCATGAGTTTGAGTAAGCTCCGGGGGTTGGTGATGGACAGGGAGGCCTGGCTTGCTGTGATTCATGGGGTCGCAAAGAGTTGGACACGACTGAGCGACTGAACTGAACTGAACTGAATCTAGATGAGAAAGAACCCTAGCCACCAGACCAGCACAGGCTAGAGATTAGAAGCAAAGTGACCCTGGCTCTTTATCCCCTTTTGAAAGCAAGAATGTTTCAAGGAGGCAAAAACTATAAAAACAGATACAAAGTTAGAGAGACAGCACAACACTGGGAGATCACACAGAGGGAAGCAGTCTGTTTATTTAAGACTGAAGCAAGGCAGAAATACATACTCAAGGAGGAATGCAGGGGTCCTGAGTGAGGAGCATGCAGGAAAGAGGTGAGTTAATTACTTATATAGGATAGTCCTTCTGGCTGTTTGTTTACATTTGACCAATTGTCTTGTCT